AATGTAAGAGAAATTACATATTCATTTAATAAATAACGAAAAATACTTAAATTTTGTTGTTTATTTTATTTTATTTCACATACAAATTTTTTGAAAATATATTAGGAATGAGTTAAATGTTATTTATATGCGAAGTAAGTTTATAGGAATAGTTAGGCTATAATATAGTTTTTAGTGTGTAAAAGTAGGTGTTTTTTTTTTTTTGCTGTAAATAGTTTTTATATCGTAGGTTAAAACTTGATATAATTCTATATTTATATTTGTATTAAAAGATTTATCAATTTGAAAATAACCTTAATTAAGTTAACATTCGTTGTTTAAGTTTCATTACATAGGTTTTTATATATGTTTTTTTGTAAGTTTGAGTTTTGTTCATAAATGATGTGGCATTTTTATTTACGGCGTCATCGACTGTGGGAATATGTGCAATGATTTCACTTTTTGAGCTCTTAATCTGTATTATTCAAGCATCATTAAGCCATCCACGTAGGTAGCCGCGTGGGATTCACTTTTTTCGGTTCGTTTTTTGGATTCATATTTTATTATTTTTGGATTGAATTATATTATAATAGGATAGTTTTAAGGCTCTTTAAGCCATCCGCGTAGGCAACCGCGTGAGACTTGCTTTTTTTGTTTTTTTATTGTTCGTTTTTGCATCCATTTTTAACTATTTTTAGTTTGAACTCGTTAGGCTTTATGGTTTATCCAACTATTTTGATCTTTAAAACAATAAGTCATAAAAAAACATAAAAACCTTACAAACAAAAAACCCATATGATAATAACCCAAATAAAAAAATCAAAAATAAATGATAGCTGCATGGTTTGAACCCACGATCTTGCATGCTTCATTAGACACCTTATACCACTTGGCTAAAGTGTATTTCATTGTTTGTAATCATCTTACCAAGAATATAATTTTTTAAAAAATACCTATAGGACCCACAAAACTGCTGACGTGGCGCATTGTGAAACCTATAAAGTGTACTATTATAATATAGATTCTAATCTGGATTTTAAACCGAACCGGATATAGTCTCTTCAACGAATCATGGCCGGACCGGTTTGACTGGCTGGTCCGGTCCGATTTTCAAAACCATGCCTCGAACATATCATAAATTTTGTGCATGATCTCTTATACTCGTATACAACGGATTGAATTTGTATAACATAAAGAAGTGTGGCAGAAAGAATGTTACCACATGTATAAACATTTTCTTAAAACAAATATGACCACAGTAGTTATGATAAATATCTTTACACATATTGGATGCTCCCAATAGTATATTCTTACACTGGATATATATACACTAGTTTTTAACATTTTCTGATTAATATGACTTCAACGTTTTTTTTTTGTGTTTGTGTTTCAGTTGACATGTTATAGAATTGTATTTATCTTCAAAAATCGCATGTAAATTTTTTAATGAAAACAATAATATGAATTAAGTACAAAACGGAAAACAGAAAGAAAAAGTAACTTTACTTCATTTTGTAAAAGTACTAAATGAACACTAAAAATTGTTATGTAACTTATGTTTTAGTAACAAATTAAAAACTCTATATATTGGAACATGTAAATGCAAACGCAAATTGAGATAAGATAAGTTTACCTCAGCTTGTATAGTGTAAATCAGTCTATCATCAACAATAGAGGAGATGGAGTTAAGAAGGCAGAGACCATTTTCACTAAGAACTTGAAGAACACTCGAAAGCAGGTGTTGGCCACGACAACAGCGGCTGCTAAACACTATTTCCACACCCACCAAACACTCACGAACCACCACTTGATTCATTGTCTTCATATCATCCTTCGAATCATCAAAGAGGGTTCTTCTAGACAGTAACATGAGCTCATCTCTCCTAAAACTAAGCTCCTTGATCTTCCTCTCTAAGTACGTTATGTAGTTGACCGCTTCATTAACTTGATCTGACGTCGAACGCTTACCCTAGCGAAAGTAAAATAACACGACATGAAACAAGAGAGTGATAGATCTGATTCGGAATCTTGTAACAGAAACGCTATAGTTAGGTAGAAGAGCAAAGTCAAAACAAGAAAGTGATCCCTTTTTTATTTTCTTACACGGAAGACCAAGTCAAAGGACAAACACTGGGTATAAGATCTAAAATCAAAATCAAGATTAGGGTTTTAGGAGTTAGGGAGTGACCTGAATGAAATTAAGAGGGAGAAGAGAACGAAGAGAAGCGTAAAGAGAAGCCATTTCTTGTCTTCTCTGTCTCTCGATTTCTCTATGCATCATCTTCTCCATGTCGTTATTATCAGTACTTACTCTTAGTTTCGTACACCGTCGTCTCTTCTCCCGACAATCGTCCATCAAAAAAGCTATGATGTTCTTAACTAGTAGTATTATACTCCTTCAAGAGATTATCTCCTGATGATGAGACAGCAAGATCTGATCTCCTGGGACTTTGTGATCTTGGTTTGATCTTCGTCTTTAGAAGAACAGCTCAAGGCTTTGATGTAAAGTTGAAAATTATTGCAGTCTAGAGGATTGAGAAAAATAATTAAACAAAAAGAATTGTCTGACAATATTATTTAATTGGAGAAGAAGATACGTTAGTTAGACGTATCAGAAAAAAGAAGGAAAATATTTAAATACGTTTGTTAGGGTACGCACGCGTTGCGATGTGTGCTATAGACTATAGTTGTAAAATCAAATTAGATTTTGACATGTGTTATTTTATTTTTTATATAAGTATATTTTTTCAGAAGTAGACATTGTTATACTATTATTTTATATTATATGTTAATTTTCTTAAAAATATAATATAATATTCTATATATTATTTTTTCAAAAATAAATTGCTAGTTATTTTACACGTTCACTATTTTTTTTTTGACAGCTCACTATTATATATCATCATATAAGTAATTATATAATTAATAGTATTTTATACGTATCATCAAATAAATAATCAAATATACTATATTTTTTAATTCTAATGTGAAATATAGAAACCATAATTTAAGCTGGTGTATGATATTAGAGAGCTTGAATTCAAGAATAGAAAGTTTGTTATTCAATATAAAAACTCAAGTTAATGTTTACATCTGTACAATCTCAAGTATATATACATACGGTTTACTGATAGGAAACTAAGCCATTGGTTAGGTGAAAAGATACCATAACCAATTAAACCAATTCTGGTTTATATAATCTAATATCTTCCCCTTAAGACACAAGCTGTGTAATCTCATCTTGGCAATCAAACTCTTGAAGAGACCTGGTTGCACTATCTTAGTGAGCACGTCGGCAAGCTGCAGTTCTGATCTCACATGAAGTGTTTTCAAAAATCCACTCTTTAAGCGCTCCCTAACCACATGACAATCAATCTCGACATGTTTTGTACGCTCATGGTATACCGGGTTTGAAGCAATGTACAAGGCGGATTGATTATGAAAAAAACAGAGTGGCCGGAGACAAAGGTGAACAATGCATCTCTCCCAACATTGTCGTCAATCAGATGAGCTCACAAGTAGCATCGGTCATCACTCTATACTCGGCTTTTGAGCTACTCCGAGAGATATAGCCTGTTGTTTCTTTGCACACCAGGAGACCAAAGAATCACCTACAAAAACACAGTATCTAGTGATAAACTGTCTAGAATATGGACAAGCAGCCCAGTCAGCATCGGAATACGCCGTTAGTTTCATCTGTGAGGATGCAGAGTAGAAGAGACCTTGGCTAGGATCATTCTTCAGATAAACCTTGTAAGCTGCTTGTAAGTGGACATCGGTTGGAGCAGATATGAACTGACTAAGTTTGTGAACTGCATATGTTATATCGGGTCTTGTATGTGTAAGATATAACAAGCGACCCACAAGTAGTACCCGTAGTAGAAAAGAGTTTCACATTAGGTTCCATAGGCACAGACAGAGGCTTGCAACCAAGGAGACCAACTTCTTCAAGTAGTTCCAATGTGTACATCCGTTAATTGATTAAAATGTATGTTTTGTTTATGACAATTTCAAAACGCAAGAAATATTTTGCTGAACCAAGATATCTCAACTTGAAAGCATTCTGAAGAACTGTCTTGAAAGCGAGTACAGCCATGTCATCATTTCCCACTATCAATATATCATCCACATATACAAGAACAGCCAGAAACTTCTTGTCTCCATACTTGAGGAACAACGAATGGTCAGAATGAGTTTGCGTAAATTCATCATCAAGAATCACCTAAGATAATTTGTGATTTGATTGCCTTTACTCTTGTTTTATGATGTACCAATCTTGGCAACAGGTGAAAAAGTATCCAGATAGTCCAGCCCTTCTAACTGAGTGTAGCCTTTAGCTACCACAAAAAACTTATGTTGTTCAACGTTTCCATCTGGATTATATTTGATGGTTTGAATCCATTTACAACCAACAACTTGTTTACCCAGAGGCAATTCACACACAGACCAAGTACCTTTCTCTTCCAAAGAACCCATTTCAGATTTCATGGACTTTCTGAATTCATTTGATAGCATAGCTTCCTTAAAGGTTCGGGGAAGTCTAGACGTGGTGATGGAAAGAAGAAATTTTATGTGTTGATCATAAAACTTGTCATAAGAGAGATAAGAAGAAATAGGATATTCATGTTAGAGTGTGTTCCTGGTATGGGATTAGCAGAAGAGCTAGCTTGGTGAGAAGAAAATGATGAACTATTCATGTTAAAAGAAGAATGTGGGATCAGGAAACAAAGTAGGATCAGAGATGTTATCACCTAAATCAAAGAAAGCTGGAAATGGAGAATCAGAGACCGGTAAAGGCAAGACATCTTGATAAAAAAAATTTGAGTAATCATCATGAGAAGAATCTTTTTAAAAAGGAAAAACTAATTCATTAAACACCACATTTTGAGACACATAAATAGTGTTTGTGTCAATGTGTAAAATCTTATATCCCTTAAAACCATTTGGATAACCAAGAAAAATGCAAGGAGAAGCTCGAGGACTAAACTTGTTTCGATCTTTTAATAATATGGATGCAAAACACAAATAATCAAAATCTCTTAAGTGATCATAAGTTGGAATTTTATTTGTTAAGAGATCATATGGGTGATTTGTCCTGAAGTAAAGACAAGGGAGTCATATTTATAAGATAAACTGCGGTTTGAACACATTCACCCCAATACTGCAATGGAACATGAGATTGAAACAAGAAAGCAAGAGCTACATTTAGAACGTGTTGGTGTTTTCGTTCTACAACTGAGTTATGTTGAGGAGTCTAAGGACATGAGAAGAAATGAATAATGCCATGAGATATAAGCAGAGATGTGAAAGCAAATTCTGGAGCATTATCCGATCTAATGGGCATAATGTTGGAATTATATTGAGTCTTAACAAACTGCATAAACTCAGGAAACACAGAAGCAACAGAACTCTTATCCTTTAAAAGATATATCCAAGTAACTCGGGTACAATCATCTACTAAAGTGAAGAAATACTTGTATCCATCATGTGTTGGAGTCTGAAAAGGACCCCAAACAACAATGTTGATCAATCAAATGGTACTTTAGAAAGATGTGGATTATAAGGAAAATAATTTATTTTTTTGTTTAGCCAAAGGACAAATTTTACACAAAGTTGAATGATCATGTTTAAAACTTGAAAACTTCAAAAGTTTTGAAAGAATATGAATCTTGGTTTGAGATGGATGTCAATTCTTTGATGCCAAACTTCTGTAGAAACTTGTGATATGACATGATCTTGAGTATGATGCCGTGAAAGAATTTAAAATGATTTCAATGCAGCATAATGAGAAGCAGAGAGAACAAGTGAAGACAGAGCAAGTGTATCTAGTACATATAGATTGTTTTGGAGGTTACCCTTCCCAATTATGTAATCCGGAATACGCTCCTAAAGCAAGTGGAAAATATTATCAGGAAATATGAAACAATCAGGGAAAGAAAAGAGAACCGAGATGGTACTGTTACGAGTAAGAGCATTGATACTAAGCAGACTGAACTTAAAATCAGGAATGTATAGCACATCAGACAAAGTTAGTCGTGAACTAAGTTGAATAGTTCCAGAAGTATTGAACAGAAATACGAGTACCATCAGGGAGAGTCACAAACGTGTTGCTAATTGAGTTAGTATTCAGAAACATGGTTAGATAAAAACACACATGAAAACTAGAACCAATATCTATAATTCAGGCAGGGGCTAAAACTGTAAGGCCGTTCTTCATTCGCGCAGAAACAAAATAGAGTTAGTCAATTTACCTGAAGGTGGGTGATCAGAGATTGTGTGTGCAATATTGTGTGCTTGCAGTTTAGAAGTAGAAGATGTGCCATCAGATAGAGATAGTACTTCCTGAAATCTGAGAAAACTTGTCCAATAAAGGAGGATGTTGAGTACTCAGGACATTCAGAAGCTGGTGAACTTGTTCATGTGTGACTGTTCCCAAGTCAACTCCCTGTTGGTTATGCATTGATATACGACCTGAATCCTGAAGAACCATATTAGCAACATTCTCCTTGTGTACTGGCCAGTGCTGATTAGATTTTTGAACAGCTGGATTCTGAACTTGATAATTCTGTTGCTGAGACTTATACCCAAGTGGAAAACCATGAAGCTTGTAACACTTATTGATAGTGTGTCCTGCTATTCCACAATGAGCACAGATAGGTTGACGTTTAGTCTTGTTATATCCAGCATTATAAGCCGCCACAAGAGCTTCATCAGCATGATTATTCTGAGTCATTGAAAGCAACAGTACTAGTACTCTTCATCAACATTTGCATCTCTTCTTGACATACGAGGTTAAACACCTTGGAGATATTTGGTATAGGCTCCATCATGAAGATCTGACCTCTAGTCACTGTAAATATGTCATTCAAGCCTGTGAGAAATTTAAAGATATTGTATTGTTCCTCTTGTTCAACAATCCTTTTGAGACTAGGACAATCCCGACGACCACAGCAACAAGTAAAAGGAGTCTCATGGTTCTTCAATTCCTCCCAAAGCTGCTTCAACTTTGTATAGTAGTCACTAACGCTTGAGAACCTTGAGTCTCCGCAAAAATCTGTTGTTTGATCTCTGCTGTCCTTGCAGTAGTCAAGTACATTATGCTCTTTGCAATCGATTTTTCCACAGCATTCACAAACCAAGTACAAACAATATTGTTGCAGCGAGACCAAGACGCATAATTGGGGTGATTCTGATCTATTTCCAGAAAATTTCCAACAACAAAAAAAAAGCCTTGCTCCTAGCTCCTAAAGCCATAAGCATCGATCTACCCCAAGTATTGAAGTTACCTAAACCAGCTAGCTTCTCAGAGAAGAGAAATACCAGCGTGATCAGCAGTATGAACGTAGAGAGGATTGGAGTTAGGATCTTGCAAAGACGGTGATGCTCCACGATTTTCCGCTGGAATAGATCCCATCGTAGTCGGAGATGACGAATTGATTCAAGAAACTTCACAATAATCCTTTGATTCACAATAACGAAACCGACAAACAAGAAATCAATCGTGTGAGAAGAG